TTCCCACAGGTCTGGCAGGTCAGACTCCTGTGGAACAGGCGCTAGCTGATGCCATTGTGGACACCTTAGATGATTTCATGACACTGTTCCCTTGGGGAGAGAAAAATCAGGATGTCAGAGTAAGTCAATCACTGCTTTCAATGAAGATAGCACATAGAGCCATGACACCTGAGCATCTCCTCTGGAGAAACTGCTGTGTGTCAACTGCTGGGTCCATCTCGCCCCACTTTGGCAGAGTTGACCTGGAGGAGCTCTGTGGTTATTCCTCAAGGCTAATCCAGCCAAGGCCTTCTGCTCCCTCCTACCTCCTGTGTCACCAGAGTTTTTTTCAGCCTTGGTGGGAAATGATGAGGCCATCATGAGACACCCTTCATTAGTTCCTCTTAAACTGAGGATGCTGTACATGTGTACATCAAACTGCTGTTCAAAGAGGACAGGACACTTCCACCCCAGCCAACACTGTGCAATACCTGTATTTTAGAATGTTTTTGGGATGGAAGGGACCTTTAAAGGTCATCTAGTCCAACTCCTGTGTAGTAATCATGGATATCTTCAACTAGATGAGGTTGGTCAGAGTCCTGAGGCTTCTAGCACCTCCCTGGGCAACCTGTTCCAGTGTTTCACTACCCTCATAAAAAGTTCTTCCTTATACCTAGTCTAAATCCACCCTCTTTTAGTTTAAAAGCATTAGACCTTATCCTACCACAACATGTCGTCACAAAGACTAAGCTCAAATTGTTTTTCTTTTTGCTAACTCAACAAGATTAACAGTTCCATCCTATTTTCTTTTTGCATTTCCATATCTTGATTTCTTCTTGTGTTTTAGTATCAGTCTTCAATAACATCAGCTGCCAGGGACAAATGTTTTTCAATTACCAGAGCGGTGTAAGATATCGGGTGCTGCTAATGAGTGCAGGGAGCACATCCCTCACTGTCACTGCAGCCAGACTCTTCATATCACCATGGCCCCACCTTGGTCCTCTGTGGTGCTTCTACAAATATTACACCAGGCTAACACGCTGCCATGGGTACTTTAACACACAGTGGCATGCAAGTCCTACAGCATTTGCTGGTTTGCGCTTTTTTTTGGCATCAATGCAGTCCCTCTCACCAGAGCCCCAAGCGCAAGCATGCAGATCAACTGCTGGGGGAAGAGTGTGATGGATGAGTTAACTCCAATATCACAACGGCTCCACGTGGCTCTGACTCAAGTAGATGACCTGACCCTCTTAGGAAAGTGGTAGCCTAACAACAGGTCTCATCATATCAGTTTTCGGTCGGCTAAGGCATCTTATTACAGAGATCGTGAAGTACAAAATGCTGTTCCAAAGAAATAATAAATAATTAAACTATATGGAAATACTCTGAAATCTTGCAGAGGAAAATCCTAAAGTGTATCTCTGAAGGTTTTAGTATTCAGAAATGTGAACTTCCTAGTGATTTTCTGAAGTTCCCTGATTTGGGAGGGGAGGCTGACTCATTATTTTTAATCACTTAGGAACAGCCACACTATTGCTGACGTGTTAATGTAGAGGCAGCACTACCAACACAGAACCGCTACTCCTCTACAGGGAAACTCCTGTGATAACGCCTGCATGTGTCCCAGCTCGTATTCAACCACTTCTCCAGAATAAGGACCCAGGTCGTCTCACCAGTGATTAATTTAAAAGGGGAGAGAGTTCACAGGCAACTCCTACATGCCTGCCTGCATGCAAGGCAGTGTTTTGAGGCCAAGGAAGATGAAGAAACTTTTTCTTTGAATTTCTAACATTTTTCTCACTATTAGCTGTTCTCCCTCTCCTCCCAGGTACGCTGCCACCACCTTGTGGCAGAAGTGGCCTCTCATGGTCTCACGATTTAAGTCTTTTACACACAGCAAAGTCAGAAAATTTCCCCGGGTCTGGCCAGTGATTATAGGAACAAACAAACATCCACCAGAGAAAGATGAAAGGATGTGTTACAGTTTCTGGCCAGCAGCAAAGAGAAAACTAAGCAAGGCGAACGGAGCAGAGGTGGAAGCAGCCCACGAAAGCTCCCTCCGTGTCAGGCACAGACTCTCCCTTCAGCCCTTCAGTCATGTCCCCATCAGCTTCAAGGGTTGAGTGCACACCTTCATGATCACCCAATAGTTTAGGTTGTTGGGTTTTTTTGCAGGGTGGGCAGGACTTAAAAAAAAGGAAATACTGGAGGACAGGGTACATATACTAAATTTCAGGACTGCAAACTTCAGGCTGTTACTTACAGTTACCATACTCAGTTACTAATATCTTGACAGACAACAGAAAACTATGTCAAATCTTTGAACACATCTGCAGAAATAATGATTTTATTTTAGACTGCATTTTTTGGGACTGTCTAAATCGCTGCCTCTAATCTAAATTGGCTTCTTTTTTTCATTAACCTGAACTTCAAAGATGTTGCGCTAACGTCACTCCCGTAGTGCACTGTTTATCTAACCAAGCTTCAGTATGTTCCTCCAAAATGAGGCCAAGCACATTAAATGCACAAACTTTGCTACATAGGTCAGACCAGGTGATCATAACAGTCTGCAATCTCAATTGCTTCCATGCAGATGTCCTGGTTTCAGCTAAACAGAACCAATCCTGTTCAGTGATTTTTACTTTTCAGCTCAGTCTCTTCTAAGAGGCTGCACCTTCTAAAGTTAACAGCACATTCTTGCAAACACTGTCTGCTACCAGAAGTGATAACCCTAACCCTTGACAGCAGGTGAGAAGAGAAAACCATGAACGGCTTCCCTATCCAAATGAAATAGCTAACCCTCTAAAAGCAGCCTTAAAACTTTTCTGCTATGGGGAACAGCTAGCAGAGAATCACCTCCATACAAAACCTCATCCTTCAGCCATTAGCATTCAAATACTATGGTACATATCCTTCGATGCAGACTTTAGCCTTTAAAAACTTATTTTAACTACCTCAAATCTCATTTCTGCATAAAAGTACATAAAAATACAAAGATAAACCCAACAAAAGCTCAAAACCCAGGGTCCATATCTCACACAGGGCTGGTAAGACAAGATAACTGACCAGCATCTGACCGACAGCACACAAATACTGAGCTTAAGGGATTTGGGAAATATACTAGAAAACCTAAGCTCCAAGAGTCCCAAAAAACAGCCGTTGAGACATTAGAAATACATTTTATAGATGGATTCTTCCCAAATCTACAGAAGGGCTCCCATCTTGCTGTGCCTGGACAGCTGTTAGCAGAGATAAATGAGTCGCATCATGCCACACATCCTGTCTCAGCATCCTGGAGCTCTCAAGGTGTTCATTAAGGGAGCAGTCGGCTTAAGCCACAGCACACTGAGCTGTGAATGCCATGTTTTGGGCATCTAACCCACTTCATGGGTAATTATCTCAGCCTTCCTAAATTCTATAGCACTTCTTTGCATGCATCCATATGACAGTTACCTCTGCATTTCTTCACTTACATAATTGTTGTTTGCAGTATTAAGACTGATTTGGATGTTAACACATTCCTTCTTTCAAAGAGAACTGAAAGTACTCTGAAGTTTGGGTCAAATCAAATGACTCCACTATCACTTTTTGCAAATTTCAGCTTGCTTTTTCACACATAAGCATCCCCCTAAAATACAGTTTTGCTGACTGCAGTGCTTATGCATTGGTGGGCATCTTTTGTGTTCTGTTTTTTTCCCCCAGAAACGAGCGTTTGATGATATCCTCACCAACAAAGCACCTGAGTTACTGAAAGATTTGGATACTTTCTTAGGGGATAACAACTGGCTGGTAGGGAAGTCTGTAAGTATAATTTTTATTTCTCCCACACCAATCAGGTTGCCAGAAAAATAAAACCATTAACTGTTGTTGAGCTCCTGGATTTCGTGCCAGCCCATGAAATGGACTCTTCCAACTCTTTTAACTCTTTGTTCTTTCCAGTACAGCATTGGTTGCTCAACTGCAAAGTGAAAATTGTTTTTCATACTGTTAGAAAAGCGAGGGAAACCACAAGGATTTGCACCTTCTAAACCTGTTTTTAAGTATGTTGACGCAGACATTATAAATGCCTTTGTACTAGTCGATACAGATGGGAGTTGTTTAGAACCCCACTTATAATCACTAATCAATTCATAGGGCAATATGAAAAAAAAACAACCCTCTGTGAAAACATAATCCACTTAAACCCAAAACTGTTTGGAAATGAACTACAACACTTACCTGCAGGTAAGATTAATATTAAAATGCGAGCAGCATTTGTAGCAAGGACTTTACTTAGCCAATTTTTACTTAAGTCAAGCCTTGCATTGCAACCTAATTACTAGCTCTAATAATTACAGGCTTTTAAAAAAATAAAATACATAAACACCAGATCAACTGACATTTCATTTCTGCAGATTGCTGAGAATATTAGTAGTCCTAGCTTTTGAGATAATCAACTATTTCTCTTTCGCTTTCTCTTCCATTTCCACCAGGTAACATGGGCTGACTTCTACTGGGATGTATGCAGTACGACGCTTCTGTCCTATAAACCTGACCTGGCAGACAAATACCCCAGGCTTCTGGCTCTCCGAGACAGAGTGCAAGCACTTCCAGCCATTGCAGCCTGGATCCAGAAAAGACCAAAGACTACAATGTAGATCAGCTGTTCAGACTGGAAGAAACAAATGCATGTTTAAGTTTTCAACATGATAACCATCCTAAGTTATTAATTTCAGAATCATTTAAATAAATTTCAGATAGGTATGCTATAACCCAAAATTACAATCTAGCACTTGAATTCATTTATAGGAAGGACGCTAAAAAGCTGATTTAGTACAGCAGAGCCTGAGAGGTGTGGTTTCAACCACACTTCCCTCCACTACTAGGAAAGTGTTAAATCAACCCAATTAACCTTCTGTGGGCTCTGAAAGGTAGAAGAGATGAATAAACCTTTCTGAATACATGCAGAACCAACAATACTTTATTGTGTACTTCCACTCTGGAGGAAAGCAGCTAATTAACAGAGAAGACAAACATGTGAGAAGACTAAAGATACTAAGCAAAAGAGAAAAAATAAAAGATGACCCACTTAGTTAACAAACTTCTCCAGCACTTTCTTTAGCCTCTTCAGTTCTCCATGGGCATACCAGTTTCAAAAATACTCAGCAGCTCAGTTTCTCTTCCAGTAAGCCCGAGACAAACTGAGGGGCAGTGGTGGAAATCAGGTTTAGAACAAATGAGCAAACAATCAGTTTGTTCTCCCAGCGCTGAGGAAAACAGGCAAGTGGAAATGTTGGCACTGTGGACCACTGTAGATGCAAGTGGTTTATACAGACTCAAGGGGAGACAAGTGCTTGCAAGAGGGTTCCACTGTATGGTGTGAGCAGATAACCACAACAAACCTGGGCAATCCTCTGCGCTGAAAATGGCCACTGTTAGGAAAGTATTTCCCTTCATGCTTGCTTTTCCATCCCACCAGGATTATTATTTCATTGAATCGTACGACTAACACCAACCACTAACAGTTCAGAGACAAACAAGGTACTGGCAAAACTGAAAGCAATATTCACCTTTTGCTCGTTCCAATACACTATCTCCACCCGCTTTGCAATTCTTTACATGCTTTGTTCAAGCTCTTTACAGATTTTTCCTTCTTCATCACCTACTCTCCACTATTCTTCAGCTACAGATTTCAGATAATTGCATCTTTTTTCACCCCCGTACATCTTTCCCAACCAGGGACACAGAATCACAAAATGGTTGAGATTGGAGAGGACCTCTGGAGGCCACCTGGTCCAAACCTCCTGCTCAAGCAGGACCACCCAGAGCCAGCTGTCCGGGACCATGTCCAAATGACTTTTGAATATCTCCAAGGATGATGCCTCTACAACCTCCTGTGAGCCAGCTGAAGAGGGCAGAAACAGTTACCAAAAAAAAAAAAAGAAAAAAGCGCAGAATCATAGAATCATACAATGTTCGGGGTTGGAAGGGACCTCAAAAGATCATCTAGTCCAACCCCCCTGCCAGAGCAGGATTCCCTAGGGCAGCCACACAGGAACGCATCCAGGTGGGTTTTGAAAGTCTCCCGAGAAGGCGACTCCACACCCTCTCTGAGCAGCCTGTGCCAGGGCTCTGTCACCCTCACAGTAACGAAATTTCTCCTCATGCTGAGGTGGAACTTCCTATGTCTTAACTTAAACTCATTATTCCTTTTTCTATTACTGGGCACCAGTGAGACCCACACAATATTGAAACTACGTATCTAGGTAGGTGATGGTTTAAAGAGTAACCACTGCTCAGCCAGACTACACTAACTGCTTACATACACCAAACCAAAACACCACACAAACCGCTCTACAGCTCAAGTGTTCTGTTTCGTTTCACATTTGAAGCAAACAGGTAAGCACATGCAAATAGAATGGGATAAAGCTGGGTTAGGATCATGCTCAACAGAAAGACCACCTCATTAACTGCAGGATTAAGCACTTGTGGGTTGTCTGTTAAACCCCACTATTTAGTGCAATGGAACAGACAAAAATCAAAGAAGCACGGTGGGCAAACTGATTCTTATCATTCTCCCGTCCTATACGAAGATGACTGGGGGACTGGAGCATCCCTTTCACAGAAAAAGGTTGAGAGAGCTGAGACTATTTAGCCTGGAGAAGAGAAGGCTGGGAGGAGACCATATAAACGTCTATGTCTGAAGCGTGGGTGCAGGGATGATGGAGCCTTTTCAGTAGTGCCCAGTGACAGAACATGGGGCAACAGGCACAAACTGGAATACAGGAAATTTCCTCTAAATATGAGGAAGCGTTTTAGTAAAAGCCAAGGAAAGTATAGCTCAAACTTAAAACATTTTAAAAGCTTTCATTTTCCCTTCCTTTTGTACTTGCAGAAATCTTGCAGTTAGAAAAAAAACACACCAAAAAACACAAACACAAACCAACCCCACAGCTATAACCAAACCACAGAAAACCAATGCTCAACTCACAGATCACCTCACTGACTAATTACTAGCAGGATCTGAAGACAGGCTGAAACACCCATCAGTCATGGACTCCAGCTCCTCTTCCTTACTCTTCACATAAAATTGTTCAATTTCCTTCAAAAGATGCGTCTTCTGACTATGATAACTACATACAGAAAAGTGTAACTATCAACCCCACTCTGGAAACCAGAGTGAATTCTAGAATGCAATACTCCCAGAGAGTCAGCCTCATACAGATTTTGCTGAGCTCTGCACAGGGCAGCTGAGGCTTTAAGAGAAGGCAGGGGCAGTAAGGACTTCCCCATATTTACCTTTCCGCAGCTTATAAAAAAGCAGCAGTTTGAATCTTAACTACCTTGAGTTGAAAAAACTGAATTTCAGTCTTTTACTGAGTCCAGGGAAACAGACATTTGCCTCGCCTACCTCCTCAGGTCACATCCTTGCTAGCAGGTTATCAACTTCAAGTGGAGACACATCTCATTATCAACATAACTGAAGCTCTTCATTTCACTGAGATGAATTCAAAATTCACTGAAACTTCAAGAAAAGAGAAAGATGTAGGCTTTGTGCTTAGGGCACTTTATTGGCACAGCACAGATGTGGTATCTATACCAAGGACTGACAGAAAAATTGCAACCTGGGTGGAAGGTTCCATTTGGTGGGAATTCTGGTTTTATAATCAATATCCTAACAAAACTGTGATTAATTAACTACTGCTGGATAAAGCCAAGTCAATTCGAACGGAGCACTTCAGCTACTTTGGAAGTTGCCTAGTTCATTTTTAACATGCATCAGCCCTCTGCCCCCAAATAACCACAAAATGAAAACGTTTTGTTAATCTGTGGAATTTTATTTGAACAAGTTGATACAAAACCAGTACAGTACATCAAATGAACCAAAACAAGCAGAAACAGACTTGAGCATTGTCAAATAAGGCACATTAAAAAAAAAATCTACACGCATATTCCAGTGAAACAGACAGTTTATATATATATATATTTGGAGGTAGAAATAATTACAAAAATACTGACAAATCTTAAGCAGTAGTAGATTTGTTTAAACAATTACTACTTAGGTCCCCATTTTTAAAACGATCTGTAAAATAACATTTATTCAGCATCCGACGTTGGCACATTTGGGCCATTTATAGTTTTAAGCATCAAAAGAATGCTATCAGTGTTAACAACTTTCAATACCATGAGGAATACAATAAAGAAACTACAAAAAGTTATAAATGTTCATAAAATTCACGGTCATCAGTAATGTAAGAGTCCTTGGGTTACAACATTACCTTTCTTCCTTGAATTCCATATCATATTTACATTTTAGAGACCTAATGAAGCTTTTAGTAGTGTGGCTATATCTGCTCGCATGGTTCCTTCTTCTCCTGAGGAATAAAAAAAGAAGCATTAGTACATCTCGAAATATTTCACATCGACAGACACCTATATCCCCCAAACAGTACAAAATCCTTTACTTGTAGGAATTGGTCTTTGATTTGTGGGCCAGACACAGAGAGGACTTCCTGTCAAGCGAAGCAATAATCAGCACAAATATATCTTTCTAGTTCATTTAAAATTATAAAAAGCTTGTCTGCATCAAGAACCTTTGCTTTCTTTTTTCAGAAGAATATAGTGTAGCTACCTTAATTCACCAATCCAGACATCATTATGCATAAGTGACTTACCTGAATCTGTTGCAGTCATATCTTGTTCTAACTTCAATTTCTGCTGGCTGATTTTGAGCATAGATTCTTCTACAGTCCCCTTACTGATTAGCTTTATGACTTTTACTTCTCTGAAAACCACAAAATAGGATAAATCCATTTTTTTAGTTACTTTGGATTACCGCAAAAGGGAAGAATGCTAGGGCAGTTTTTCAAACAAGACTGAGGAAGTGAAAAAAAGGGCAATACAAAGAGCTGCTAGTTTTTCCTGTCTCAACCAGCTGTGCTCTGCACTGCTAGAAAGCTTTTCCTCTGCACCCCGAGTCACTACCAAAGTCCAGAAAGTCACAAAAATTGCCATTAATAGAAATGACTCAACTTCCTCCTCATCCCATACTACAGCTGAATATCAGTTATCAAGCATTTTATCGCTCACATTAGTTTATTCTGATGGAGATCTCTCTAAAACAATCCACGGTTTCACTCTTTATGATAGGGTGGCACTTTAGAAGTCTCCTAAAGAGAACATGCAGCTCTGCCAAACAGTCCCAAAGACTTCAGAACTGCCTTGAAATAGTTCCTAGCACCAGAAATTCGAGGGTTTGTAGAGAATGAGTTATGTATAACTGGAAAAATGAGGAAAATGCAAATAACGTTTGTTCTGGCAGCAACGTGCGCTAAGACAATTACAATTATCTAGCTCCCATACAAATCAAAGCTACTTTATGCAAGTCTCCACTTAAAATGGAATTTTTAATCATAGAATATTGTCCTTGTAGTTTCCTTTGAGAGCTTTTCCCTGAGAAAAGTCAAACATAATTAACAAGTCCTACCTTGTTTGACCTACTCTATGGCATCGGTCTTCTGCTTGCTTATCGTTGTATGGGTTGCAATCGATGTCATGAAGAATAACCACATTTGCTGAGGTCAGATTAATTCCCAAGCCACCGGCTTTGGTTGACAGGAGGAACACAAATATACCCATATCTGTATTGAACTGATCTATTAGATGTATCCTGCAGAACACAAGAAAATACATATCTGACCTTGGAGAAAACATTTTCGCTTTAGAATTGCTGATAGAAGTTAGGATGATCTTTTGAAAGAGAGG